GTCTATGTAAAACTGCTATACCAAACGGAGCCTTAGTTAAAACTCAATTTAAAATTTAAAAATTCATGTTATTAAATGTTAATACATATATTTGGAAACTTATTATATATTCTAATAGAAAAATAATTTAGGGATAATATTTTTGTACCACATTTTGATACAACCTTAAGTGTTAGTTAAATAATTGATTTTTTTTATTCATTTGTAACTCGTGATATTGAGTGTATTCATTCATTGAATAATACGTGAAAGTTCTATAAAAATATTGGATAAAAACGTTGTTCCTATATTGCTATCCATTCTAATATAATTGGTTTCTAAATTCATATATCAATATTTAATAAGATAGGTTTTTGAATTTTAAATTTAATTTTTAGTTTCCAAATATAAGTATTAACATTTAAATGAAATGATATTATTTAAGGTTGTAACTCTAATTTTTTTTTTAATTATGACTAATATGCACTATTCTCTTAAAATATTATTTTGAATAAAATTTTTCTTCAAAATAATTGATACTGACTATATTCAAAAATTTGAGACCAATGATATAGTATAAGTCATATAATTCAATGAGTTAATATATATAATTTCACAATCCCAATAAAGTAAAAATAGCCAATCATTAAATTGTATTATTTATCTTTTAATATTTTAAATAACATAATTCATGTCATATCATTAATTTTAAATTTTAATCTCATAAAATTCATCCTTATCATTGTTGATTTCATTAGCACATATGGAGCATTTAGACTTACATTTTGTAAAAAAGTAAAAATTCATTACACACAAATCTTACAAATCATATTTATATAAATTTTAACCAATTATCATTTTACTTTTAACAATTAAGATTTATTATATATTTTTAAATAAAAAAGATAATTTTTAATAAATATAATAAAAAATAAATAAAATTTAATTATTAAAAATAATAAAATAAATAATGAAAATTATATATAAATATAATATATAAAATTTATATATAAGTATATTCTAATTCATTAAAAAATTTATTGCCAGGATATTCGTGGGACAAATTGTCTATTGTTCTGGACAAATCCGTTATAAATCTTTTCTTATGTGAAATCACCTCGGCCCAACTTCTTTATTTAGGGAAGGCCGGAAGGAAAACTTCTTTCACATGAGGCTAGAAATCTTGCACAATACCCAACTGGGCTACAAGCCCTGGACCTCCTCTGCCCAGCTTCAATTATTAACAATCTTCTTGTTTCCCTATTCTTTTCTTTAGCATATTTAATGATAAGTTATATAATAAAATATATATTTTTTTTTCATTCAACTTAAAATTTGAATATAAGATATTTAATTTAATATCTCAAATTCTTAACTAACTAAACCACTCTAAAAGAGGCTCTCATCTTTTTCTTTTTTTTTTTTTTATGGTCCTCATCCCCTTTTCTTGAATATGCTAGCTAGTATCCCTTTTATTATTATTATTTTAAAAGAGTGTTGTTTAGTTTAACTGTTTTAGATTACATTAATTTGACCATTAAATGAAAGCATACTTCCTAAGAGAATATTTCTTCTTTAATTTATAGTTTGATATAATTTAAATTATAAAATAAGAAATTTTTTTTTTATTTTTATTTTTCAAAGCTACCATGTTACATTCGTGCATAAAGTCAAAATTTTGTTCATTTTCTATGAATGATCATCCAATCCAAAAAAGATAAAAAATAAAGTCAGAAATTCGTTATATCAAGTACAACTTCTTCTTTTCCCTCCTAATTCTATATTTCTTTCTTCTTCACTCTCATAAATTGCCTTCGGTTAATTTTAAAAATAAAAATAAAAATTTTTTAATTATTAAACAACATATAAGGTTATTTAGAAATACAATCATTTAGTTATTTTTTGATGCAATACTCACAAGTGGGACTCACACAATTATCTTCTCTGATTGGGTTAGAGGGTGGGGGGCAGATCAGCGGGTTGACCAGCTGGTCCAAACCTGGGTCCAAGTTGGCACAGCTGGAAACCAGCCCTGACCCGACAGCACTTTCTTAGCTCAAAACAAATAGGAATAGGATTATAGGAGTAGTAACAAATTAAAAAAAAAATCAATATTGATGCAAATGTAAGGAGTTTAATTTCTTTTAAGTAAGATTTGAAATTCGAATTTTTTTAAAATAAAATTTTATATTTGAGTCATATGAATGAAAAAATAAGTGTTGAAAATTTTTTTCCTTAAATAAGATCTAACATGACTTGATTCTGAATTAGTTTGGATTTAATATGATTACCAAATATCAGGAGATTAGTAAAAAGTAAAAATAAAAATAAAAAACAAATCAAATCAGGACCGTTCGTGCGGAAGAGCCCTGAAGAAGTGAATAAAACGACAGAGCAAGAGCGAGAAAAACGACAGGAATTTCGAATTGCTTTTGGCATCATCGATACTCCCTGCTGGCAACTGATGTGGCCCCACACACGCCCATGCAATGCAGTTATCTCCTTCCAGAGCAAAGTTAATCTGTGCCCGTTCGCCCTTCAGTCTCAGTGAGACCGCACTAAAACAACCTCAGGATCCGCAACAACACTCATCGACCGTCAACCTTTTGACTATTTCGACAGCCAAAAAAAATTACTCCCACTTTGACTTCATGATAGGGCAGGACCACTGTTTAAAAAATGAGTCTGGTTGCACCGAATCCCCACACCTTGTGCATGATATCCCCCAGCTAAGTTACAAGGTGTAACATAATAATCTTCGCCTGTGTTTCCTCTTCTACAGATTTTCTTCTCCTTCCTTGTAATCCCTTTATATTTCTTACCAAAATCTCAACCTCAAGTAATATACACCGCCACCGTCAGTAGCAGCGTAGCATCACCACCGCAATGGACCCGTGCCCTTTCGTTCGAATTCTCGTAGGTAACTTGGCCATGAAGTTACCAGCATCCACTAAGCCATCTCTCTCAAGAATCCACCCTTCATCCTCCCCATGTCACTGCAAGATCAAACTCGATTACTTGCCTCACCAAGTCGCCGCCGTCCCTCTAAACCAGGACACCGAAGACGGAAACCAAAACCCAGAAGGCAACAAGTCCGTCGCTGCTTGCTTCACTCTGAACAAGGCTCTTCTCGACAAGACTAATGCGAAGGGGTCAAAGTATTTCAGGTTAAAAATCGGGGTATATACTGATTCTGATTGGAGTTTATGTGGAATGGCGTCCGGAAAGTTAATGGGGAAGGTTACTGTGCCGTTGGATCTCACAGGATTGGAATCAAAGCCCTCAGTTTTTCACAATGGGTGGGTTGCTATTGGGGACGATAAGAGCAAGAAGAAGGGTTCGTCGGCACAGTTGTTTCTGAGTGTTAGGGCTGAATCCGACCCCAGATTTGTTTTCCAGTTTGGTGGCGAGCCGGAATGCAGTCCTCTAGTTTTTCAGGTTCTGGGGAGTATTAAACAGGCGGTTTTCACTTGCAAGTTTGGATACAGGAACTCCACTGATCGAAATTTGGGATCAAGGTTAGTTTCAATATCAATCTTTACGAAATTACGCTTACAGTTTCTGATTGGTTGTCGAGAAAATTAAGAAAGCCAGTTGGACTTGATTGATTTTGCAATGGTTTTGGTATCCTAAAATAGGTAGTAAAAATTGACTTCTATTTGGATGGAAAACTTAATCTTTTTCTTTCACTATTCGTGCAGGCCATCAACGGCGGAACCAAGCACTTCAAGGAATTGGCTTTCCTCAATATTCAAAACAGAGAAAGGTCAATTTTCAAGAGAGAGAAAGGGATGGTCGGTTATCATCCACGATCTCTCTGGTTCACCGGTTGCTATGGCATCAATGGTGACCCCATACGTTCCGTCCCCGGGCTCTAATCGAGTCAGCCGCTCAAACCCAGGTGCATGGTTGATTCTCCGCCCTGGCGGTGGTACGTGGAAGCCCTGGGGCCGCCTCGAGACATGGCGAGAGCCTGGTGGCTCTGACGCCGTTGGGTATAGGTTTGATCTCTTTCAGGATGATATTGCCACCGCCACCACCAAGACCACCATCGCCAGTTCTAGTGTCAGCACCAAAAAAGGTGGTGCCTTTACCATTGATATGACTAGGAGTCATATGACCACCAACGTACGAACCCCCGTAAACAGCCCACATGGCAGCTGCGAGTTAGGATCTCGGTCGCGGCCAGGATCGAGATCCGGTTCTGGGACCTGGTCGGAATTCGGGTTCGGTTTCTTGCAATGTAGTTTAAATGGTGGTTTTGTGATGTCATCGAAGGTGGACGGTGCGGGCAAGTGCAGCAAGCCAGAGGTGGAGGTCGGTGTGCGGCACGTGACGTGCACGGAGGACGCCGCAGCTTTTGTTGCACTGGCTGCCGCCATGGATTTGAGCATGGATGCGTGTCGGCCGTTCTCTGGAAAGCCGAGGAGAGAGTTAAGGCATTAAAGTCAAAATTTTATCGTTTAATGTGGAAGTTGTTGTCGTTTTGAGTCGTTTCTGAGTAGATTAGTTTGTCTGGGCAGATAACCAACAGCAGTTTTTGAGCTGGATTTGTACAGAGCAGAATGACAAAGCATTCTTTTATTATTATTATTATTATTTTTGGTAAATCTATTTATCCATTTTATTAAAAATATTTATTGATTACAACACATTTTAAGTCTAAGAAATTGAGAATCCTATGCGATAACTAAGGAATTCTCTGGGAAAGGAACACTGGCGGCAATGCAGATTTGCAGGTCACCAGACCTAGGCCACGAGAAGTGGTTTAATTGTTCAAATACCATGTGAAATTGCACATAGGGAATGTTAGCAGGTTTTAAACTCCTTAGTGAATATGAGTACCCCACTTAAAATGAATAGAAGGCTCTTAATTTTTTTCTTCCATCCCCACATCTCCCTTTGTTCAAAAGATGAAAAAAGGTAAATCCAAAGGGAAGGCCTTCCATGGTAACATGAGTCGCCATCATAAACTAACTGGTTTTAAAATCAGAAACAACAAAATGAAATTTCGAAAATATAGACAAGAAGAAGTTGCCACAAATTACATAAATTAGAACAACTTGCCTACATTTTGCATCCAATAGTGAAACCGTAATCTCTAACATGATTCGATATTAGTAAAGTATTAGTATCAAAATGGAGTAGGATAATATGCAACTTGGGAGCATTCATAAGAAACTCTGATCTGACCATTTAATCAGCCTTCTCATTCTGCGGTGGCATCTTCACTGTTGCTCACTTCTGTTCTAATATCTGGCAGCGTACTCAGGTCAACACGAGTATCTTTCTCATCTTGAGGGAGGGTAGAATCAGAAGTATCAATAAGGTCATGTTGACTTTCATCTCCAGTTGCATTGGTGGAGGAAAGCTCAGTGCTTTCATCTGTTCCATCTGTTCCACCTGAGCCATGGTTACCTTCAGAGTTCTCATTCTGAGTTGCATCAAAGGTTTCCTTTGTTGCTAAAGACTCGGAACTGTTCCCTCCATCAGCTGTTGCATTTGATTTAATGATATCCCCCGATACGGCAGCCTCTGCATCGCTAGAGGAATTTGAGGATTCTCTTGCAGCCAAATCCACATTCTCTGTTTTAGAGGAATCTGTGGTATTAGCATCTGACTGATTGCTATTAAACGTCATGTTATTGGCCTTTTCTGTTTCAATATTTTGCTGGTTCAATTGTTCTCCAGTTGTTGCACCAGCTTCTGTAGTGTTGTGTGATTCAGTTGAAGCCAATGTTGTTGCTGCTCCATTCTGCACTGAACCAAGAGTTTCTGTATTCATTTCTGCTGGCTTATTAGTCGATTCTAAATTCCCTTCAGTCAGGTTATTGCTTGGTAGGTCATTGGAATCAGCTGCTTTTGTTGCATTTGGAAGCAAGCTGGTCTCAGAGTTACCTGAGCTAGACTCATGATCCTTTTCTTCCGCAATTGTGTTGTTCAAAGAATTGTCTGTGTGTTTCTCTTCTTCTGATTTCAACTGCAAATTGTTTTCATGACCAGCCGTTTCCTCAGTTTTATTGGCTTCATTCTCTGATTCCAAAATGTTTCTTGTAGAATTCTCATTTTCAGTGCCAATAATTTGAGAATCATGAGACACTGCACTAGAAGCATCATCTGCCTTGTAATGTTCCTCTCTTGCCTCATGGGTATTCCTGTCACCTTCCTCCTGATTCTGATCATTTGATGAATTCTCATTTTCTTCTTGATCTTCTTTCTCTTCATTCTCTCGCTCATCATGCTCCTCTTCCCTCTCTTTCTCTTCATCTACAAAGTCTTCTCCATGATCAGCTTCCCCCGCAGCCTTTTCTTGCTCATTTTCATCTATCTCATCAGCTCCACCTCTCCGCTCATCTTCCATCTCTTCATTCTTAATTACTTCTTCTTCTTGATCTCCATCTTCATGTTTGTTTTCTTCTTCCTCCTGCTCTTCTTCATCATGCTTGTTTACTTCTTCTTGTTCCTCTTCTTCATGTTTGTTTGCCTCTCCTTGATCCTCTTCTTCATGTTTGCTTGCTTCTTCATCTTGCAGCTCTTCATGCTTATGATCCTCCTCCTCTGCTACAGTTTCTTCTTCCTCTTCTTCCTCCTGTTTCTCATTCTTAAAAACATCCTCAGTACGAGGAAGGTCTTTCCTTCCAAGTTTTGGAATCCCATCAACACTTTCTACTTTTGAATCTTTCTCATCAAATTCCTTCCTCTTATCATGAGAGTGCTTGACTTGGTAGATTAACCAGAAGCAGACCACGAGCAAGACGCAAATCTGCAGAACATGCTTCACCTTGAAGCCTTTAGATCTTTGGTTTCTACTTGGTGACTTCTTGATCATGATAGATATCCAAAAATCCCTGATTCTTGCTTTCTGTCAGTCTATAAAATAAAACAGCAACTCCCAGGTAACTACCTAGGTAGGATACAATAAACAACATTAGATAGCTGATGCCATTCAAAATAAATAAATAAATAACTGATAAAAGTGGCCAGCACATGAAAAACAGCTAATTGAAAATCCAATGACTAAAGAATTTGGCGTTAAATCCATTTACCTAAATTTAATCCAAACTTGGGAGAAACCAAAATCTCAACCTTATAACAAAGAAAATGTTATATTCTGTGACCTGCGACTACAATACCTCCCCACAAGTTCAAACAGATATGCTCTCCCTGAATCTTGATAAGTTTATGAAGCATGCACAAATTTTTGCTCCAGAAATTAACCAAGGGCAATTCTACTTCTTAGATTTTCACAAAACAAAAATGTGAACTGAATATCACAACTATTGGATTCAATAATATAAGGTTTTCCTCCTCTTTCCCCATTTTCCATTTCAACAAGGAACCAAAAGATTAGAAACATTTTCCCTTAGTCATTTTCAAAGAGAACAGGTTGGAAAATGTTAAAAATGCATGCTTAGCAGAATGTTCCAGTCACCAAAACAATTTTAGATTATGAGCTGATCCTTCCAAAGCTGAAATTGCCCCTTATTTTCTTCTCACCATGGGGAAGGGTGGGGATTCTTTAAAATCATAGTTTTTCTTTAGAACATAAGACCATCATAACTACTCCTCTAGTCACATGAATGAATCAAGTATGGTCACCCCATTCAATATTACGTTCCCTAAAAATTCAAACTTTCCTTGCTGTATGATTAACACCAGTTGTTATCAAATTCATTAGCAATTAGGTTTTCCTTTCTATTTTTAACCCTAGTTTTCCGCAGAGATGAACTGCCAAGAACAGACCATCAATTTCTGAATTCCTCATTTAAAAAAAAAAAAAAACAAACAAACAAACAAACAAAAGGATAGTAATTAGTTAGCTTCCTCAAA